GCCTTGCCGAAGCAGGGAGCCGCCGAGGTGTGTTTACACCCCGTCCTGGACCTCCTCGTCCGCGCCTCATCGATTCCCTCTCGGAGCCAGGGACAGTGGAAGACCACTATTGCCTCACTGGTCGATGGTGCCCTGAACGAAGCAGCAGTGGACTTGTGGAATACCTGGAGGGTGGAGGCAGAAGAGCTGAGGAGATATCTTGCCTCGGTACGTCTTTTGCGGCTTCGAAGTCTTTAGACGCTCCTCTGGTAGTCGAATAAGCAAACAGACAAATAGACAGACAGTCAGATATAAGACAGACGGACAGGTAGTCAGACGGACAGACAGACAGATAGACATACAGACAAACATATAAACATGACTTTCCACTTGTAAGGCGAAGCTGGCTGGAAGGAATTCGTGAAATGGTATCATCGGAAACCGAAGAAGGATAACCGCGGAGTGAAGACTATTGGATTGTTCGAAGAAGTCGTCGACTCACCATCTTGCAGTTTATTCATTTGAGCCTTCTTTGCGCGAATTTTTAAGCCCTCTTTCTGGATCAGGCTGATATAAGGTTTTGCCGAGCCATTCAGAGGAGCCTATCTGAACACAAAACGGCTTGTAAAGGTCGATGAGTTCAAGAATCTATGCTTTCTAAATACATGGTTGATACAGGACACCAAAAAGGCTGCTGGTCACGGAGACCTCGCACCAGGGCGTAGCAGTAGGGAGTTTATAGCAATTAACAAACCAGCCAACATTCGGAATAGGAGGACCGAGGGTAGAAAACTGAGTTGGAGAGGGCGAGCAGGAAGAGCCACTGAGCAAGAGAAGGCCTTACTAGTTTCGAGTCTCTCATGACATGAAAATTATGCACACACACACACCTAAACATGAGTTTATGTTGGTAAGGAAACAGCTACCATCATATCCATTTTTTGTTTATGTACTAATTTCACTCATAATTTACGAAAATCTTACCGTCACGCCTAATTAAGGGAGTATAATGGTGCGCTTTTTTGTAAAGTATGCTCTCCTTAGACGGGGCGATACAAACAAAAGCTCAACACTGTTGCAGGCCGTTGACCCGAAGCCTTCTTTGCACTACTCAACAGTCCTCACTACAAGGAAATACTCCTCCGGTTTCCGATGCGAACCTTTCAAGAATTCCTTCCAATAAACTTTTGCCTTAAAATAAAAAGTTGAATCACAGTGCAAACAGACGGACATATGTAGAAAAGCTGGGTTTTGAAGACTTCCTTAGCTAATCAGTGTGATTCTACTTTTCATTTCGAAAGAAAAGTTGGTTTCGAAGGTATTCTTGAATTATTCTCATCAGAAACCTTTGGAGAATTGAGAATAAATTCTCGGCCCGCCGTCTTGCAATTCCGATTATTCTGTGCGGAAATTGTCTATGTTATATCGTGACAGACATTATTAAAGCTGAAAACCATACTTTACAAAGGTCGCAACATGATGTCCTTATTCGCAGGGCATGACCTCTCGCTCTGAAGAGGTGTGTCACGGCGATACAGGCGAAAGCTCAGCACTACCTTCATAGCGTCACAGGACACCGGACTGAGGACTTTTTGGTGCAATCCAAGAGCGTGCACTCCGAAGCAATCCTCTTTTGGAACTCATTGCGTCCTATTCACTAATTGCAGAGCTTACTTCCATTTCAAGTACAAGTA